TCCCGGGACCACAGAGTAAGCAATGCAGTTGTAAGGAAACGCGTTTTAGGTAAGGATGGCAGATCAATAGATGAAGTAATGAAACTTCATCAGTTGAGGTGGTTGGGACATGTGTTACGTATGCCTAACCACCGACTGCCTCGACGAGCTTTGTTTTGTAGTGTAGGAATAGGTTGAAAGAGATTTAGGGGCGGCCAGATCAAAACATGACACAAATCCATGGAGTCACTGACAAGTCAAATGAGTCATGTCGGTAGTTGTCGACTACCTGTTTGGGGTCCGCAAGACGAAAGTCACCAATGGTTAGAGATCTTGAACGACATGGCTTAGAATCATTTGCAATGGCGCAGGTGCATCCACTCTTTGTTTCCTTTTTAATTCTTCATAATCTCCATGTTTCTCCTTCTAAATTTATCTCACTGAATTATACTTTTCGAATCATATCTTTAATCCCTAATCTTCTTCATTGCTGCTAATAATTCTACTATCGCTATCACTCTTGGATTTGAACTGACAGTTACGTTTCTGTGCTGATGTGGTATAGCAACCTGAACTAAGTTGTGCGTTGTATCTATCTGTCTGTCTCTCTATCTGACATTGCCATTGTTGGATTCCAGGTTGAGCGTTCGCATGCTATAACCGCAGGTCCTGGATTCGATTTCTGCCTGTAACAGTAGTCGTGGATGTGTAATACTACTTACTGATGAGTAGTCTCGTACCAGGACGAAATGGCCGTCCAGTGGAGTGATGTTGGTGATCCAACTCTAATAATAGATTCATGATTTCAATAATAAATTACATACAGTTAGTTATTCTTTAGACTTTCATTACCAAAAGAAAAAACAATCAGATTTATATATTGATTGTCTTCTAATATTATCTTCAATAATAATAAAAACAACTTTTTAAATCATTACGATTCTACTACTTACTGATTAAGTTTAATTTATCATGCCAAAAGCAATAAAATTAAGTCTTTTATTTTGTAAACAATTTTTTTTTACAGTTCTATTTAGAAAAATAAGACATTTAACCTGACCAGTATAGACAGAAAATGTATTATTCTCTAGTGACTGATTAGATTGGTCAAAAAATTCTCTGAATTCTAATTGAAGAATCTGTGTGATGAGTGAAGTTCATGTGAGAAAAAAAGTTGGGTGAGGTTGTGTAATCATACTTTGGATTGATCAAAAGTTAGACCGTCAGATAACGGCTGGCTCAATGATATCGAAATAAATGGGTTCACCGGCGAGACCGAAGGTGCTGAATGGGACTCGTAGATGTGTACTGTCACTGTTCGAGTCCTATATCCTAAGGACAATACAACTGCCTAGTGCTTCCAGGTTTCTTTCTACTGGTGGTTTAACAATAATGATCGATTCTGTTACGAATACACGTAAACATGTCAGTTTGATATGCTTGAACTTTTACGAGTTTACTTTAGTCGGAAAACGAGAACGAGGATCGAGGGTCCGGCGACATGACATGCTACTCTAATCCGAGTGTGTCCCAACACCGATTGAGTGAAAGAAGAAGACTTGATATGAAGTGAAACCTGTATTCTACGAGCATCCAAGAAGTTCGAGGTCCGAGTCCAAAGGAAGACATGGATCCTTGACTGAGGGTTCGGGTGCTGGGGACGTTAGATCCCCAGAACTCGCTTCATAATTGCCTTAATTTTGGGTTGTATTCATTGGCTGATCAGTTGACCTTGGGATTACATTTCCCACCAGGAAAATCCTTGTCTGTGACTGGTTACTGTGTTATTTTAGTGCGCTATTTTTGTGACTGTCCCAAGGACATCTCTATAGAGTATAAATAAATGCAATTTGAGTGCTTGGATTCATTGTGTGCTGGCCGGGTGTTTATAGAATACACTTTCTACACTAGATCAAGACTTTTTCGTTACTACCTTTGGATCAGCGGATCAGAGTAACCTACCCGGACACTGGTTCATTGTCTCGTTCTCATTTATCAACTAAACTGAACTCGTCATAGTTTCAAACATATCAATCTGACGAGCATAACAGATTCATGATTGTCAAAAAAGCTGGATGTAACGCGAAATATGAATATTCTTTCAGCTATTCTTCTTCCTCGCACCGGCAGCTTTAACTACATTTATATTTCAGATTCATACCATAATAATAATAATAATAATAATAATAATAATAATAATAATATATGGCTGTATGATTTACGGTACTTAAGACATGATGAATGATTCATAAACATTAGTTTTTTTTCTTACAATTCCTTCCTTATTTTTTTTTTAATAACAATGTACTTTTAACAATTCTATTCTACTTTATATGTTCTACACATACATGTATTTTGACCTTATTTTTTAAGTATGTGATTCGTTCAATTGCTTTCAATTCATTTTGCTTTGTTTGTTTGTGTGTTTTACTGAATGTTCAAGTGTAGTTTAATTAAGTTAAATGTTCAAGTTCAAACAGACGAGGCAGTGGAGTAGATAGATGATAGTAGGGATTCAAAATTTATTGAGCTTTTGATATGTTCATCACTAGGTAGTAGTACGCTTGAAGCTATTACGACGAGTTCAGTTTAGTAGATAGAACGCGAATGAGACTATGAACCAGCGTCCAGATAGGCGGCTACCTTGAATCCCAAACTGTAAAACAAAAGTCTTGATAAGCGTAGAAAGTATATTCTACAAACACTCAGCAAGCACACAATACAATCAAGCATACAACTCTTATTTATTTATACATCATAGAAACGTCCTTAGGACAGTTAAGAAAATAGCATGCTAAAATACACAGCAGCTAATCACAGCCATGGATTTTCCTGGTGTGAAATGAAATCTCAAGGTCAAGTGATCAACCCATGCTCGCAAACGTGAAGTCCGAAATAAGGCATTTATCAAGCGAGTTTTGGGGATCTAACGTCCCCAACAGAGCCTTTCATTGAAATCATGAACTGATCAATGTGTTAGATCGCGTTTTATAAACATGGAAGTAATGGACTGACGCTTTCTTCTAGGATGAAACTTATCAGTAGTAGTGAGCATCTATGATCCTTCCACCCTGGTGTTCGTGGAAATCGAACCCAGGATATTGAGTCTTATGCACACGGGCGCTTCACTTCTAGACCACTGAATTGGCCTACGTATGGCTAACCACCAACTGCCTCGACGAGCTATGTTTTGTGGTGTAGGAGTAGGTTAGAAGAAAGCTAGGGGCGGCCAAATCAAAACATGGCAGAAATCCATGAAGTCGCTGACAAGTGTACTGAGTCATGTTGGTAGATGTAGACTACCTGGTTTGGGGTCCGCGAGACGAAAGTCACCAATGGTTAGAGACCTTGAACAACGACATGGCTCAAAATCGTTTGCAACAGCGCAAGTGCATCCATTCTGTGAGCTCTCTCTAATCCTAATCTTATGGATTCGTCAGCACCTCTACCTTTGTCCTTCTAACCTTATCTCACTGAATTATACTTCTTGAATAATATCTTCAAACCCTAATGTTCTTCATTACCATTAATACGTGTACTATCTTTAACACCATGGGATTTGATTTCACATTTGTGTCTCTATGCTAATGTGGTATGGCAACATGAACTTATGTACATACGTACGTAGTTCTACGTTGCAACTGACTGACTGACTGGATTGGCCGGCATCCAATGGTATTCCTGTCCATCAAAAAATTATTACACCACTTAACCCCTTATCTTCAACAACTAACTGTTTCATACACACATAACAGTAGAACTGCTGACATTTCTTCACATATGATCACATTTTTTTTTAAATGGTGTTAAATGCACATTGCCACTGATGAGTCACATTACTAGGACGAAATGATTGTCTAATGCTTTCAAATTTCTAATGATGGTCTAACTAATAATTGATCAGTGTTCATGAATGATTTCAATGCCAAAAACTCAACAATTATCGCAACTCTCATAGAAACAATATTTATGTTCGCATGAGATTATTAACAAATGAATTTTACTCCTACTGGAGTCTTTCTAAAATTACTATCGATCTAGATGCCATATAGGGGAAGAGAATGAGACATTAGGCTACCAATTCCATCATACTGAAAGCAACCTTTCTAAAATAAAACTTTATTGAGTTAGACAAAATGGATTTACAAAGCTTTTTTCAAACTATAGCATTACTTGTGATGTTGGTTGAGATTTCTGGTTGTCAAAGATGAAGCAATCCGCTCTTGTTTACTCTTTGACGGCTTTCAGATAGACCCTATAAAAAAAAGTAGCAAGCATGCCTAGGGTTTATAAGTCATTGGCAGTTAATGTCAGTCGTGTGGGTAGGCGCAGACTGACCTGGTTGTGATTCTATCGATAACTTACTAGCTTACCTACACCTGTTATCCTTCAATAGAGCATAATCAGGCAACCATCATTCTTCAATCTATCGCTGTTCTAGGCCTCTATTCCCAGTTCTGTCCATTTCTCGGCTTAATATCTTCATTGGTCTTCATCTTTTCTTTTGACATTGAGGATTCCGGGTGAGGCTAGTTGATTGCTTTCCTCATTATATATCCTATCCACTTCCAGCGCTTCGCTCTGATTTCTTCCTCAGCTGGAATCTGGTTGAATTCTCTCCTACTGTAGTGAAGGAGAATACAGGTGAGGGCAACCGAATTGTATTTAACGAAAATTACAGAGTTACTCAGTAAAATAGGAAAACCATATTGTGACCGTTAATTTGCAAATCTTCAATCCATCATCAATCCATTGCCTAACATTTCACTATTCATGCGTTTCATACAAATTCCATTTTGTTCTAACTCTTCCTTTCTTGATCTTCCCCCATCTTCTGCTGCCAGACATTACGTTTACACTCGTGTCATATACTACTTATAAGTAGCGCGCACGACACTACATGGTTTATCCTATCAATGGTTCTTCTGACCTATCTGTCTATCTATCTATCTATCTGTTCATTATCTCTTACCTCTAAATGAATATCATATCTTTCTGTTTCTGTTTTCCTCATTTTTTAGAAATGGTCATAAATATACACATGAAAGTCGTAAACCGCATGCATGTCATTTCTGTGATAAATCCTACAGTGATTCACGTTCCCTTAGACGACATTATGAAAATGCTCATCCAGAAGAGAATGAACGTTGGATGTTATTATGTCAAGCAACTAATGGTGATACAAGTGCTATATCGATTGCTGCCGCAGCAGCGGCGGCTTTACTCTCTTCATCTGCGGCTGCGGCTGCTGCTGCCGCGGCGGCGGCTGCGTCATCAACTGATACGACAACAGGACGTGATACAGATCCTTCACTGCCATCTAGTAATGGTGGCAGTGCTCATACTGAAGGCGTTGCCAATAATCATGTTTCATCGTTAGCCATATTGAATGCTTTGAGTAATAATAATAATAATAATAATCATAGTACGTCATCCTCCTCATCATTGCCGTTGTCGTCGTCCTCATCATCATCCTCTTCGACTACTGCTGCTGTTAGCGGCGGCGGTGGCGCTGGTGGTGTCGCCACCTCACTGGATTCTTCAGCAAGTGTTAATAAACTCATTGAATTCGGTCATCAAACTGGTCTATCACCAGCGGCGTTAGTTGCTTTAGTTGCATCAACTAGTTGTTCTAAATCCGGTCTAACATCTGGATTCGATCGTCAGGCCTTATTATCATCACTGTCGTCGTCATCATCATCGTCGGCTGGTGTCATTGGTGGTGGTGGTAAGTTGATGTTGTTTTTTTTTGAGCAATAATAATTAGTAGTGTATTTGTTTTATCCGGGGTTTTGTTTTTGTTTTTTTGTAAACGCTAAAGAGTAGATGTGGCTACACATTTATAGTTGACCTGTTAAGTGTACAATGCTATATAGTATTTCCAGTCCATGGGGGTTAGCATTTTTCTTAGCAAGTTAGTTTCTTACGAGATATGGTCGCCAAACTCCATGCCCCAAACCTGCTCATTGATCTGGGCTTGGGACAAGCAGAGTAACCCTAAAAAGGTTCTAGGCGGAGTTATTTCCAGTTGGAGAGGATAGTATTTTTTGCCTAACTTGATGTAAAGAGTAAGTTTGTGGTGAATGTGTGGGCGATTGGTATTTGACACATTCTTACTTAACCTTTGTATACTGCCCTCTCCTAATGACCGCTACTAGATAACGTCCAATTGTGTATAGAATTCAGAAGATGAATACGAAGCGTTGAAAACATTTTAGCATTGCCCCGCAAACAGACCACAAAACTACAGGCACACAAAGCGAAAATGTTATACGACAGAGCGCACCAGCGAGCGAGCCAGTGATCATATATATATATATATATATTTAAGCATAATGGGATGAATGAGTCATTGAATTATGCACGTAGACGGTAAGCACAAAGCTCAATCATACCTGTTCCATACAAACGTGACAATAATAAAATCACACATTTTTGAAACCATGAATCGATCAATGTTAGACCGCCATTAGAAACCAGTGTTTCTTCCAGGTTTCTAATGGTGGTCATCTAACATTGATCGATTCATGGTTTCAAAATTACCTGTGCTCACTAGTGACTATCCTCGTGAGGAATCTTCTCCGAGTTCTAATGGGAAGACGTGACCAGTGAAGTTCAACCTGTTCGGGTGTAGACAGTAACTACCGAAGAGTGTGTATGAGGTTGCGCTACCCCGTGAATTGATCAAGTTAGACATTAACACCGTTAGATACCGGCTCAGTAGTCCGATGGTTAGGCGTTCGCCTACAATGCCGAAGGTCCTGGGTTCGAATCCTGCAGGGTGCAGGAGTCGTGGATGCGCACTGCTGAGAAGTCCCATACCAGGACGAAACGGCCGTCTAGTGTTTCTTGCAGGTTTGTAATGGTGTTCTAACATTGATCGATTCATGGTTTCAAAAATGTGTAACTTAACAATCTTCACAACCCCTTAATGCAAATAATAAAATCACAATGATACCGTTAAGTCGGTGAAATAAGTCAATCAAAAAGTCTTAAACAAAAAATTTAATGCGAACAGACTCAAATGTATGTGAGGTATTGCACGTTGGTGGAATAGAGAGAGAGCTTAAAGACTTCCGAATCGAAATATGGTGTCAGTTCATCATGTAGTGATAGTTGGAAACGTGTCTGAAAATTGTTTGCAATGGCGCAGATGCATTCATTCTTTGTGTTCTCTGTAAACTGTTTAATTCCTAATGACCGTTTTTTCTAACCTTTTTTTTGAAATTCATTTCACTGAATTATACTTCTTGAATTGTATCTTCAATCCGTAATCTTCTCAATTACTGTTAGTAGTTTTTACTTCTTCTACCACTATGGGATTTGAATTGACAATTGCATATCTTTGTGTACTACTGTAGTATTTCAACCTAGACTAATGTACATACTTACGTATAAAATTCTACATTGTAGCTAGCTGATATTGACTGACATGTGTTGCGTATGCCCAACCACCGACTGCCTCGTCGAGTTTTGTTTTGCAGTGTAGGAATAGGTTGGAAGAAAGTCAGGGGCGGCCGGACCAAAACATGGCACAAATCCATGAAGTCATTGACCAGTGGACTGAGTCATGTCGGTAGTTGTCGACTACCTAGTTGGGGTCCGCGAGATGATAATAATCGATGGTTAGAGACCCTGAATGACATGGCTCAAAATCGTTCGCAGTGGCGCCGGTGCATTCATCCTTTGTGTTCTCTCAAATCCTAATCTTGTGGATTCTTCAACACCTCTAGTTTTGACTTTTTAAACTTTTCTCATTTAATCATACTTCTTGAATAATATCTTCTAATCCTAACCTCTCCGATTACTCCTAATACCTTTACTACCTCTACTACTATTGGATTTGAATTGACAATTACATCTCTGTGCTGATGTGGTATGGCGACATGAACTGATGTACTTATTACTTACGAAGTTCTACGTTGCAACTGACTGACTGACTGACTGACCTCTCTGTCTTTCTGTGTTAGTTCTTAAGTTTGTAAACAATAGAATGACAAAAACGTTGTATCATAGTTGAAGTCATTTCATGATAAGAAGTCAAACACTCTAGAACTATAGCTTAAACTTTTAATACCTTACCTAAACGTTTCTTGATGGTAATACCTGAACGTGACCTTTTATTCTTTCCATTAAAATGACTCATTCGACATGTGAGAGAGAGAGAGAGTTGACTGGTTATACAACACAAGGATTCGCACGGATGCCAAAACATGATCACTCTTGCCCCAGAGGGAACGTACATGTTTTCTAGTTTATCATGCAGGCTAGTCGGACATCCAATCAGCGTACGCCAACCTCGCGTAGGCGCTCCAACCATACCACATCCACAAACCATGAATGGCATCCGCAACAAGGCGGGTTTATCTAGCTAGACCTGGCACCCTGCGGCGAGTTACCAAGTCACTCAGCTGTACACGAACCAGCAGCCATTACAACCAACTGGTCTCAAACTCTCTATCGCACGAACGATCGACTGAAACCCTCAAATTAAGCCAAGGATCAATCATCTCACAAGGACAGCAGTCGTGGTATGATTTACTTTCTTACATCTGTAACACTCAATGGAGCATAGGCGGCTGGCAAGCATTCTCCAACCTGCTCTATCCTAGGACTTCCTTTCTAGTTCTGTTCAATTCACGTTCATTCTTCTCATGTCTGTCTTCATCTCTCAGCATAATGTGTTTCTTGGTCTCGCTGTTTTCTACTTCCTTGGGGGTTCCAAGTGAGGGCTTGTCTTGTGACGCAATTGGGTGCTTTCATCAATATGTGTCTTCCTGATTTCTTCTGGCACTGGAATCTGGTTTGTTCTTTCCCAAATATATAATCATATCTATGTACTTTTAAAGGTAACTTCTGAGTAAAAGGAGCATTGTAATACTCATTACGCGTTTTGTTTCTCTTCCCTGTTAGAAACTTTAAAAAAAAATACAATGATCTTCAAGATTACTTTCTGTCACGCATATCTTTTTATGACAAATTTTTAATGTGTTAGCTCTGCACCTTTGAACAGTCTTACCACTGGAGAAAAAAATCTCCAACAGTAAGGTGAATGGGAACATTTTTATGGTTATCCTTTTCTAATGCGTTTTAACATCGGTGATGTTGGTTGTTTGAGAAAAAAGTCCTTAATGTTGCTCCGCACCTCTCTCTCTCTCTACTGTTGGTTAGCAGTACGACTTCCTCCTCGAATCTTAAGTTGTTGCTTGTGTTTAGTTATACCATTCCCTACTAACCAACCTGTCACCTGATCCACCTAAAGGATCATATGTTTCAATAGTCAGTCAGTCAGCCAATCACGCACAACGTGGAACTTGGTACGCAGGCACATGTACATCAGTGTTCAAGTTATCATACGACATTAGCACACAGACGCGATTGTCAATTCAAACCCCGAAGTGGTAGAGGTAGTAGAAGTATAAGCAGTAATCGCAAAGATTAGAGATCAAAGATATTATTCGATGGCGATATCCCAGTGATATAGATTTCAAAGGAGAAAGATGGAAGTGAAGAGGAATTCGGAAGATTAGAATTTGAGAGAAAACGGAGAATAAATGCACCGGCGCCATTGCAAACGATTTTGAGCCATGTCATTCAAGGTCTCTAGCCATCGATTATTATCATCTCGCGGACCCCAACCAGGTAGTCGACAATCACCGACATGGCTAAGTCCACTCGTCAATGACTTCATGGATTTCTGCCATGTTTTGGTCTGGCCGCCCCTAGATTTCTTCAAATCTAATCCTATACCACATAACATCGCTTGTCGAGGCAGTCGATGGTCGAGCATTCTTAACACATATTTGAACCACTTTAACTGATGAAGTTTCACTAACTACTTCATCCATTGATCTACCATCCTTAATTAATACTGCTATGCTAACAACAGCATCGCTCACCTCATGGTCCCAAGAAAAAACGAGCAATGCCTCGGAGACACTGATGATCCAAAAACCAGTAACCTACGGAATATACACTATTCTTACTGACTACATTTCAAAGTCGTAAAGTAGAACATAGCAATCTAATCCAACAAATAAAGTTCGCCTGATCTATCATTCCTAATCCTCATGTCTAATTCGCAGTTACACAATCAAGGTTTTTTCTATAAGCGCTTTTCACTTGTTTGGTTAACTTTTTAATTGTTCCGATTATTAATCAGACACGCATGTAATAAAAATATTTGTTGAAGAGGAAAAAATATATCTATACAATATACATATACATATATATATATATATATATATATATATATATATATATATATATATATATATGATTGAATATTGAATAGGGGTGTTCATGTTTTGTTTAACTGAAGACAAAAAAAAGGCGCGCGCGCGCACACATACACACACACACAATCGAAATTATGTAAATTTTGTAAGAATGATCAGAAAAAAGAAATAGTTTTTTAGATAAAAAAAGTATTCGATAGATAGATAGATTGATTGATTAGATTAGTGATTATGTAATATCATGATTGTAATCTAGGCACTGGATTGATCAATTTGTTGAGAGTTATTCATGTTCTGATTGGATTTGTCTTTCTCGCTTACTCTCTGTCTCTGTGTGTTGTTGTCTGAAGATTATGCCTTATAGTAAGTATTACGTTGATCGTTGTTTTATATTGAAATCGAGAATTACTCATTGTTATAATTTTATTAGAAACCTGAAAGCACTGGATGGTTGTTTCGTCCTGGTATGGGATTCCTCAGTGACAGTGCG